TTAGCCAGGTGTGGTGGCGTGCACCTGTAGTCCCAGCTACTCGGGAGGCTGAGGCAGAAGAATCGCTTGAACCCGAGAGGCGGAGGTTGCAGTGATCTGAGATCAACATCACTGCACTCCAGCTAGGCAACAGAGCGAGACTCCATCTCAAAAAAAAAAAAGAAAGGAGAAATGGTGAAAACACAGACCCAGCAATCTCCCTTCATCAAGCCTACAGGTTTTTTCCCCCACATAAGTAGCAAATGACATATGTGCAAGTTATACCCTGAAGCATCCTCATAAGAAACAATAACCCAAGGATCCCTTCACAGGGAACCACTTAAGTACACAATGGAATGGAACAAAGGACTATGCAGGAATTTAAAAAAAATAACAAGGAAGATCTTTATGAATTATATGGTGTTCATACGTTATATTACACTACAACCACATGTTATATTATGTTAAAACCAGTATCGGGCTGGGCGCGGTGGTTCATGCCTGTAATCCCAGCACTTTGGGAGGCCAAAGCGGGCGGATCACCTGAGGTCAGGAGTTCAAGACCAACACGGTGAAACCCTGTCTCTACTAAAAATACAAAAATTAGCCAGGCGTGGTGGCAGGCGCCTGTAATCCCAGTTACTCGGGAGGCTGAGGCATGAGAATCACTTGAACCCAGCAGGTGGAGGTTGCAGTGGGCCAAGATTGTTCCACTGCACTACAGTCAAAGTGACAAGAGTGAGACTCCCATCTCAAAAAAAAACAAAAACAAAAAAACACAGTGTCCAAATACCACACAGAATATTTTCACTTCTAGGAGAAAAAATATAACCTTATGATGAAGGGATCAGGCTGTCACTATGTAATTTAATCTTAGAATCACTAACTGGGAACAGTCGGATAACAGGTTTCTCCTAACGTGATATAACATGAAATACATAACATCATTTATGGTGTATTCCAGCTCAAAACGTTTAAGTTTAACCTACTGAGGCTTTAGATCTAGCTTCCCAATTACTACTAGAATTCAGCAGAGGCAGGAATAAGTTAAAAGATATTATAAGAACACAACCAAATGAGCATTCCTGGATTGGACAAACAGCTGTAAAGCATAATTATGTTACAATTAGTAAAATATGAAAATGGACTTGTGTGACAAATGGCCATGAATTCTTTCTAGTTCCCCTCTTTAAGATGTGAAGTCTATTTCCGCATCCCATGAATCCAGGCTGGTTTTATGTTGAGAGAGAGGCTGTGTGAGTTCCAGTGTCTAGGCTCAGGAGGCCCTGCAGCCTCCATTTTTGCCTTCTTGGCAGTAGTTGCTCGCTGACCTGATACTACCACGCTATGAAAAAGCTGATCTACTGTACTGGAGGATGAGAAGCCATACGGAGGAGAAAAGAGGTGGCCCAGCCAACAGCTAGCACCAATTACCAGACATGAGAATGAAACCATCTTGGACCTCACAGCTCAGCTAACTCTCCATCTGAACACCCGGTGAGTGAGCCCCAGGTTAACCATCAGAGAACTGCTCAGCCAATCCATGGGATCATGAGAAAATAAATCATTGTTTAAGCTATGAAATTTTAGGTGGTTTGTTATACAGCAATAAATAATTTGTACAACTGGCTTTTAAATGAAAATTTATTAGCTGGGAAAGGTAGACATCATTAACTGAAAGATCTGCTTACAAATCATATATAGGACAAACTCATTTTGATAAAACACACACACAGACATATAGACAAAAAGACCTAGAAGAATATATACTGATAATAGAGGAGTATATAATAAGGTACATGCTGGGTAGTGAAAATGTTTTTATTTTCTTATTTTTGCTGTCCTGTATCTTCTGTATGCATATATACTGCTTTTGCAGTAATAAAACTTTAAGAAAACATATAGTTTTTTTAAAAAGGTTTATAGTATTTACTTAGTCATCAGACAAACTGTCAGCAAGGTCCCTGAAGAGCTAGACATGTAAGTTCTTGCTAATACCTCACAAAAAGCTGGATCAATAAACCTTTTGGGGCTGTTATAGGCTGAACTGTATCTTCCCAAAACTCATTATGTTGAAGTCCTAGCCTCCAGTACCTTAGAATATGACTGTAAATGGAGTTAAAATGAGGCGCCTAGGGTGGAACCCAAAGCAATCTGACTGGTATCCTTACAGGAAGAAGAAATTTGGGCTCAAAAAGAGATACCAGGGCACACATGCATAGGGGGACAACATGTGAAGAGGCGATAAGACAGTGGCGATCTGCAAGCCAAGGGAAGAGGCCGTGGGAGAAACTAACCCTAGTGGCACACTGATCTTGGACTTCCAGCCTCCAGCACTGTGAGAAAATAAATGTCTATTGTTTAAGCCACCTAGCCGTAGCAAACTAATATAGGGACCAAGTGTATGGCACGATGTTTGGAAAACTGTGCATTAGAGCACTACAAACAAATAACTGAACCATAAAAACAGTTTATGGTCCTCTTCTAAATTCCTGAAAAGTTTTTATCTTTAAAAGTCAACTGCTGAAACAGGCACAAAGAATAATTGTGTTAAAAAAATTAATGTGAACAGAAGATAGAAGGGCATGATTTCTAAATGCAACGCCTCACTCACTGTGGAATGAATATGTTGTCTAGTTCACGTTCCATTTTTTAGTTAGCACAAGAAATGGGTTTTCTTGTTTCGTTTTGGATTTGTTTATTTAGGGCCAATGACAAAGACCAAAAGTAATGGAGAGCCAACAATGAAAAAGCAACATGATTAAGGACTACTGTTTTCTAGTCAAATACAAAATATTTCACTCATATCTATCTACTTCTAAATTTAAAATGTTTCATAAAAATTATAATTTTAAATAATTTAAAAATGCACATTGAGTATAGTTAACAGAACAGGAAAAAAAAAAAAAAAAGAAGAGAGGAGAAAGAAAGGGAAGGGGCAGGATAGCACATAATGGTGCAGAGTCCAAGAACCTGTTTTTTTAACAGCTTCTGACTCAGACAACCTTAGACACATGATTTAACTTTTATGAGTTTATTATCAAGGGAGAAACTTGAAAAGATAATCATTTCTCAAACAGTCCTCGTGGACTTCCTAAGGCTTTCCTGGAAATTATTCTAGGGTAAAAAATAGAAATAAACTGGTAGGGCCTGGTACCCTTAGGCCCAGATACAAGCAGAGCTACTCCTTTCCATTTGTTTTCCACTTGAATTTCTGTTTATTCATTTGAGGGAAGGGTCCTGCACTAAAAATGTTTGAAACCGCTGCATTAAAATGCTCTGTCACCCACAACAGTCTTATTGTTCATGTGGGTAGATACTGAAGACATATCTACGAAAAAAATCAGTAACATAGCAGATACACACAGGAGGCAGAATGAAGGGTCAAATGATATGGACTCACTGGAACAACAGGCAAATGGTAACATTAACGGGGACTCTAAGAGGAGAGAAGAGAGTGTGTCCTACATGAATAAAGATTTAGAATTGTTAATTGATGGTAAGCATTGCAAAATGAGCATGAAGTGTAACATCATGGCTCAAAAGGTGAATGCAATCTTAGCTATCATTAATAAAAATATAATTCCTAAAATAAAAGCATTCAATAAAATGGCCAAATGTATATTTAAAAAACCGGTTTGTATTACCAGTAATTAAAGAACACAGGCAGCAATTTAGGGAAACAGAAGACAGACACTGGAATAAGTCAGACTTGAGCTCCAATCTTCAAGCACACACAAGATATGTAACTTTAAGACATACAGCTTCCAGAATGTTGACATCACTAATGAGAGGATCCTGCAGTGTCTTTGTGTGGGTCAGTAATATTATGGAATACACCTAGTGTAAAAGCTGGCATACTGTAGGCACTTAAGAAATAGCTAATGCTTGCAAAGCACTATGTGAAATTCCAGCTCATTTAACCTTACCATAATTCTAGAAGAGAGTGATATCACATACATGCAAATTAACACAAGCACAGGACCAAAATGGTCACAGATGAAATCTTTAACAATGGTAGAATACTAGAAGCACTGCCATTTCTCTAGTGGGAACAGAAAATGGTGCAACTTTTCTGCAAAGCAATCTGGTAATGTGTGCTGAGGACTTTTCCAAAGATCATATATAAAGGTCCAGTTCTATTTGAGAAAGAAATGGATTCAGAAAGTGCTTAGGGTAGAAATGGGAGTGTAAAGGGCTGACTGATTAGTAGCTAATCAAGTTTTTCACCAGAAATGCAAAGCATCTGTAGGAACAGAAGTATTTTCTTTCTTTTTTATTTTCCCCCATTACTGGTTTCCACGAACATCCCCTTGTCAGCCTAAACCTGTTCATTCTGAGAACTTCTAAAGCAGAAACTGGCCCACTTCACCAATCAGTTCCTCACATTTGAACAGAAGCATACTGCCCAGGGAGGTAGATACCCCTAACAATTCAAATGTTTCTTAACATTAATAAAGGAAGGGCTGGGATTGGCAGTTCAACACCTGTAATCCCAGCACTTTGGGAGGCCAAGGCATGCAGATCACTTGAGTTCTGGAGTTCGAGAGCAGGCTGGCCAATATGGTGAAACCCCATCTCTACTTAAAATATAAAAATTAGCTGGGCATGGTGGTGCATGCCTGTAGTCCCAGCTACTCAGGAGGCTGAGGCAGGAGAATTGCCTGAACCTGGGAGGCAGAGGTTGCAATGAGCTGAGATTGCACCACTGTACTCCAGCCTGGGTGACAGAGCTAGACTCTGTCTCAAAAAAAAAAAGAAAAGAAAAGAAAAGAAAAGAAAGAAAGAAAGAAAAAAAGACTAAGAAAAGAGTGTGAAATAGAAGTATGTAAATTCTTTCATAATGGGAGGCCTCAAATCCAGAGTAATGCATGATATTCCAGGAGATGCCACCACAAAGAATGAGAATCAAAATATTTCACTTCTTCTAAGTCCGTAGTATCTTGCCCTTCGAGAACATTATAACTTAAGACCCAAAGAAAAATGCTTTCATAAAAAGTCTGATAACAACTGACACTTACCTAAAATGAGATGAAGTTTGGTTTCTGTCTGGAAAGCATAATGTAATGTCACCAAAAACGGCGACTGCCTAATGTGCTCCAGGACTTGTCGTTCTGTCCTTGTATGCTCTGTGGTTTTGGCCTTTTGAACTATTGTTGCCTTTTTCAAAACTTTCATGGCATACAGCTTTCCAGTATCATGACCGCTTATTTTACGAACTAGAAATACTTTTCCATAAGCTGAAAATGAAAAGAAAAAAACAAAAAGAATTAAAATGCTACACAGGCAAAATGGCAATTTAGTAGAACTAAATTTATTTAATGCACAAAAAAATATACTCTTTAAAGGAAAAAGCATCCCTGGTACCAGTTCAAATAGTTCTTTGATAGATTTCTTCAATTTTATACCAAATATATTTCTAGGTCTAACCCTCAATGTTTACATATCTAGCCACTGCTGACAAAATTATGCTTTTACTCTTTTACTGTTATTCTCTCCTCAATATTTTTAGCTGTAGGAAACTAGCAGTTATTATGGCCAACTAACCACAATCCAATTCTGGAACAACCAGGACATTTTAGGCATCACAAAACTTCGAGGTATATATATATTTGTTACTGATGTAGATAAATGAAGGCAGTTCTTAGTAAGAATTTCATATATATATATATACACACACATACACACATATATATAAATCAAATGCCTCAATTATTCCTCTATAGTTATAAAAAAGCCTAAAGCAACATAAGCTGACATTACATGAACAAAAGACATCTTCAGACTTAAAACATGAGAAGATCCTAAATTGCATACAATACAGACAGAAGCCCTTTTGCATCTCTGGGCAATAATCTACAGCTTACTAGGTCAACCTTGCCACACTTTTCATAATAAGGACTCTATTGGGCACAATCCTATGTGTGGTGCCCCTCCTCCAGGTGGAGGAATTGGGGTCATGTGGGCACTGTGCCTGTGGGCAGAGCAGGTTCTCTGTATTTATTTTCTTAGAGAAGTGGGCTAGGGCAGGAAGAAGTGGAAGGAAGAGGGAGGAAGAAGGGAAGGCAAAAAAAACCAAAAACACTTTGGGAATGAAAAGGTGAGTCCCCTACTTCATCCCTGCAAGGTATCAATTCGCTACAGTTAATCTGTTTTAAAAGGCAAATGCTTGCTGGGATGTTTAAGTCCAGTCTCTCTTAAATGCTTTAATCAGATCATTATTGAGTTAGTTTGAATTCGGGCCCAGATCAGTGTTCACACTCTACGGTATTTACCACCTAATTCTATTGTAATCCACCCACTAGAAGAAGGGAGCTTTAAGGGAAGCTCCCTTTAAGAAGGCTCTCGTACTCCGTATGTTATTCAGTTTCGTACTTTGGGAACTGGATTAGTAACAACACACAATGTGCAAGAGATCGTTGAAAGACTAATAATCCCGAGAAGGAGCGCCAACATTTATTAAGGACTTGCCGATGCCAGGCTCTGCACTAAACATATTGATTCACTTAATCCTCACAACAGCCAGTGAAGCTGGTGCTTTTAGCAATTCTACTTCACGCATGAGGAAATGTGTTCAGAATAGTTACAGAACTGGCCCAAAGACTGAGGCAAGAAGCAGCAGAACTGATTCAAATGCAAGGAGTGTGACTCCAGGGACCACACTCTGAACTATAAATGAACCAAAAAGTGATTCCTCACAAGTGCAAGTAATCAGACATTCTGGATCTTAATATAACCAGTACTGTAAACATACTGAACACATTCCAGGGCACAGAAAAAGTTCACAAAGGTTTGTGTATTATATCATCGGAAATACAATAATTATAGGTTGAGACCTTAGCGAGGCAGAAGTGAACCAAAAAGATGCAATGACAACTTCTGGAACCTAACAAATTAGAGTATAAAAATAAAAAAATGTTTATTCAGAAGCAACAAAATGAAGCCAGAAAATACTATGCACTATGCCTTCCAACAGGGCAAGCCACTATATAAACTCAGGAGAAAGTAAAGTCTTCCACAAGCAGCCCTGCTACTCCTGCGTTCCTTACATACACATGGCACCTACGCTAAATTCTTGTTATCCCAGGTTTCTATCTCCAGAGCACTGTGGTTTTTAGAAATCAGGAAATCCACCTATGCTCTCAAAACCAGGAATTCTTTCCACAACATCACTGAAACATGGCTGTTCAGTTTCTTCCTGCTACATCTGCCCTCAACATAGGTGTTGACCATGTGACACACAGACTGCTGGGTGTTAGAATCTAACATCTGAGTACTTGTCAGGCACTTATGATATATATTAACTCATTCAATTCTTGACAACACTCCTATAAGGAGGTGAGAACTATTATCTCCATTTTATAAATGAAGAAACTGAAGTAGAGAAGAGTTGGGTCACTTGCCCAAGATCACACTTGCCATTTAGTCTTGACTCCTGGGCCCACAGTCTTACCTGTGGTCCAGCTGCTTCACTTAAGTAAATGACCTCACAGGCAAATAAATAGGGAACCAGAGATTAAACAGAAGTCACAATGCAAGTTAGCTGTTTTAACAGTGGATGGACCCAGTGCTCCTACCTCCAAGAGGAGGAAGTTTTGCAAAGTGGCCCATTTTATTGATGGGAGGCTCTATCAGAAAATCTTCCTTATATCGCCGGGTGTGGTGGTTCATGCCTGTAATTCCAGTACTTTGGGAGGCTGAGGCAGGTGGATCATCTGAGGTCAGGAGTTTGAGACTAGCCTGACCAACACAGAGAAACCCCATCTCTACTAAGAATACAAAATTAGCCAGGCATGGTGGCCCATGCCTGTAATCCCAGCTACTCAGGAGGCTGAGGCAAGAGAATCGCTTGAACCCGGGAGGTGGAGGTTGCAATGAGCCGAGATTGTACCACTGCACTGCAGCCTGGGCAACCAGAGTGAAACTCAGTCTGAAAGAAAACCTTCTTTATATTGACTGGAAGCAGGACTTTTTATAATTTTCATTTGTCCTTCTATACCCTCTGGACTTAAAAAAGAATATCACTCTTCTTAAGATAATCTTTTAAATATTTAAAAACACTATCATGCCATCTCCATACTCTTTCCTCCTTAAACCAATCTCAAAGTAAGATGACTCTGAGACCTCTCACCACTAAGAGGTTCCACTGATATGTTCTGTGGGGTTGTAAATATTTTTCTCTTTGATTTCTTTCTGTTACTTTAGAAACTATTGTATTTCACTCCAAATATGCATGAGGTAGGATGTCAATATGTCAATATATACGATCAAATAATATAAAATCAGCCTGATTGCTATGTTACACTCTATATGGTCAAATAATACACAATCATCCTTGCCATGTGAGAACATCCAGAAGTTTCCCAATAATATGAATTAAAGACCACGTACTCTGCCAATGCAATTGTGTTCATCTGTCAGACAATGTCAGGGAAAAACTATAATGAAGCTCATAAATATTTTGTTTTTACTTTTATAGTTGCCATGATTAACATTTAAGCTACAATGCTTCATCACATAGTAAGTACCAGTGGTTGCTTATTATCAGTAACATTCAAGGAGTGCCTTACAACATTCTAAACAGTAAGTATTTCAGATAATGATCTTACTTCTAAGAAGGCTGTGTAACTAAAACGTAGTTGCCTCCAAACAGTTTTGTTTTTAAAGCACCCGGAAGACTGTTTATCACATTGCCGAATGGGGAGAAAACACACATTCCGTACTGGAGAGATCTTGAAGAAGTCACCTTACCTGGTTAAGCCAGTTTAGAGCTCAGAGCAGAGAAAGAAAGTAAAGTAGTCCTTCTGTTGAATAATTCTATTCCAGAACCACCTTTTTGTTCTCCAATATTTCAAGAGTGGCTATTGAAACTGGAATTGGTTGCAATATTCTTTTCTTTTAGTTTGCAACTGGATGAATGACTGCCCGCAAGTGCAGCCAACTCCTGCCTTTCATTCATTATGTGTGCCCTGACATTATTAGAGTAATCTTATTTTTAAAGTATCTTTAAGAAACTGCAAAGACTACCATAGTGAAAACTACTTTGGCCAAAAAAAAAGATAAACAAAATACGGACTGGGTTCAGTGGTTCATGCCTGTAAAGCCAATACTTTGGGGGTCTGAGGTAGAAGGATCACTCGAGGCTAAAAGTTTGAGATAGCAGTGAGCCATGATTGCATCACTGCACTACAGCCTGTGTGACAGAGCATGATCCTATCTCCAAAGGAAGAAAAAGAAAGATAAAACAATAGTACTTCCTGCTTGGATGGAGCTGCTTCGGTAAAAAAACTACCTTCACGCCTTCATAGGTATAACTCTCTAATTTCTGCATCAACATGCAATGGCATGAAATGTTCAATTAGTAATCCTCACAGAAGTCATGCCTGCAGCTGTTAATCTTTTCAACTACATCAGAGCTAAGGTCTTTTCAAGATACTCTGTTAAGAAATATGAACAGGGGGCCGGGCGTGGTGGTTCACGCCTGTAATCCCAGCACTTTGGGAGGCCAAGGTGGGTGGATCACCTGAGGTCAGGAGTTCGAGACCAGTCTGACCAACATGGTGAAACCCTATCTCTACGAAAAATACAAAAGTTGGCTGGGCGTAGTAGCTCACGCCTGTAATCCCAGCACTTTGGGAAGCTGAGGTGGGCAGATCACGAGGTCAGGAGGAGACCATCCTGGCTAACACAGTAAAATCCTGTCTCTACAAAAAATACAAAAAATTAGCCGGGCATCGTGGCGGGTGCCTGTGGTCCCAGCTACTCAGGAGGCTGACGCAGGAGAATGGCATGAACCCGACAGGCACAGCTTGCAGTGAGCCGAGATCCGGCCACTGCACTCCAGCCTGGGCAACAGAGCGAGACTCCATCTCAAAAAAAAACAAAAACAAAAACAAAAATTAGCTGGGCATGGTGGGGGTGCCTGTAATCCCAGCTACTCAGGAGGCCGAGGCAGGAGAATCGCTTTAACCCAGGAGGCAGAGGTTGCAGTGAGCTGACATCACACCACTGCACTCCAGCCCGCGGGACAGAGCAAGACATCGTCTCAAAAAAAAAAAAAAAAAAGAAATACGAGTAAGGTACGAGCACAGTGGCTCATGTCTGTAATCCCAGAACTTTGAGAGGCACAGGCAGGCAAATCACTTGAACACAGGAGTTTGAGACGAACCTGGGCAACACAAGGAGACCCCTTCTCTACAAAGAATACAAAAAATTATGTGGGTGTGGTGGGGCGTGCCTGTGGTCCCAGCTGCTTGGGAGGATGAAGTGGGAGAAATCGCTTGAACCCAAGAGGCAGAAGTTGCAGAGAGCCGAGATCATGCCACTGCACTCTAGCCTGGACAACAGGGCAAACCCTGTCTCAGGGGAAAAAAAAGAAGAAAGGAGAGAGAGAAAGAAAGGGAGAAAGAAAAAGAAGGAAAGAAAAGGAAACGGAAGGAAGGGGAGGGGAAAGGGGAATGGAGAAAAGAAGAGCAAAAGAAAACATGAAGTTCTAAACACACTTTATTTATTTATTTATTTATGACCAAGTCTTGCTCTGTTGCCCAGGCCGGAGTGCAGTGGCATGATCTTAGCTCACTGCAACCTCTCCCTCCCGGGTTCAAGCGACTCTCCCGTCCCAGCCTCCCAAGTAGCTGGGACTACAGGCGCCCACTATCACGCCCAGCTAATTTTTGTATTTTTTGTAAAGATGAGGTTTCACCATATTGGCCAGATGGTCTCGAACTCCTGACCTCCGGTGATCCACCCACCTTCGCTTGCCAAAGTGCTGGGATTTCTGGCGTGAGCCACCGCACTCGGCCTAAGATCACGAAGTTCACTGGTTTTCCAGAGGACTAGTCCTGCAGCGTTTGATTGAACTCGAGGTACAGGTTCTACTTTTTGAGCTTGAGGGAAAGTACATTCTAAGAACAAATGATAGGAATGATTACTTACTGATTTAGCTTGGCTGATATTTGAGACCACATGAATGAGGTAAATCTTTCAATTCATGGCCCTACAGACACCATTTTGAATGCTGCGGAAAACGTCTGTGCTCTTTTAGCTAAGCAGCCATTTCAGAAGAGAGAACTGGATCAACTATGTCAATTTTTCCAAAGCTGGAGATAGCTTTCTATAGGTTGGAAGAACACTGCAGATACGTTATAAAGGTCACTTCTGTTCAAATTGAAATGCGGATTTATAATTCTATTCTACCTGATGTAGATAGCAAAATGTCAACAATCTTTGTTGATAATGATTTCAGTGGCTTAATGACAAGAAATAATATAAACTGAACCAAAGGAAGTATCACAGAAAAATTTCTAGTTCCTTGGAGTAGGTTTCTTTTCAGCTTGCTTTTCCAAATGTGTGGCTCTTATTCCATTTACCACAATTATTGTGAACCAGGTTTTAAGCACTTGTTGCTATAATAAAGAAAAGTTAAAAATGACTGACAGTTTTAAAACAAGAAGACATTCATGCTGCCATGTCAGAAACCACTGCAGAATTCCACCTTATTTTTAAAGCCAAGCCAAAGTAGTCTTCTTGAGCATAAACTTATCTTTTCACTTATTTGCAAAATTTGAATTTATTAAAAATGTTCATAAGTAGCCTTTAATCTTTTTTTATTTTTGAAACGGAGTTTTGCTCCTGTTGCCCAGGTTGGAGTGCAATGCCATGATCTCGGCTCACCGCAACCTTGACCTTCTGGGTTCAAGCAATTCTCTTGCCTCAGCCTCCCAAGTAGCTGGGATTACAAGGCATAAGCCACCACGCCCGGCTAATTTTGTATTTTTAGTAGAGCTGGCGTTTTCCATGCATGTTAGTCAGGCTGGTTTCAAACTCTTGACCTCAGGTGATCTGCCCACCTCAGCCTCCCAAAGTGCTGGGATTTCAGGTGTGAGCCACCGCGCCCGGCCGTGTTTAATTTTTACATTAAAATGGTATGAAGTTAATTTGTTAAAAAATATTTTAAATTTGTAAAAACAATCAATTTAAAATGTAACATTATTAAATGCATGCAACATTTTGTGTGTGTACACATTTACATGCATTATTCTGAAGCAAGCAACCACGAGCCAGGAATAAGAGCCATTGTTCAGAGGCCCCTGGTTTATGTCCTTCCTTATGGTGCTCAACTTGGACATGCTGTTCTCACTAGGACCTGAATTGCTCAACCAAGGTGAGAGCAATGTTTTCTTTCATTCAAACTTTTGTTAATGCAGCTTAAAATTACCTTGAATAGAATGTTTACTAGGCATGCTGCACTTTGGGTTCATAACAAACTTATTAACTATTGAACTTGAACTACCACTTAAAAAAATACAGTAGAAACACTCTTAAATGACTTCTACTTAGCCAGCTCCTAACACTAACTTAGTCTTATACTCCCCTTTCCCTCTGAAAACACCCACTGCACATTGACAATGTATGACTAGTTTACCTGTGTATTTCTGCACCCATGCAGTTTCATGCCAGTCACTGATACTTGTTGCTTTGCCTGTTTCTGCTTGTTGTATCTGTTATTCTTATTATGCAAATTCATTAAATATTACATAAACCACTGAAATGTGCATGTGAAAAAGAAAAATGAGGATGAATGCTTTGAAAGGACTAGATATAAACAAAACACTTTGAAGAAAGGAACTGCTGAAAAATTAGGTGTGAGTGAAACAACTATAAAAGGCTAGGGGGAAACTGTGAAAATCTAAAAGGATTTTGTACTCAGACTACTTCAAATGTGTCTAGTTCTCACTCTAAAGAGTCTGAAACTGTTATTTTTAGATATGGATTCAACCATGGTTTATGCAAAATAAACCACTGTTTTGAACCTATACTCAGAGTCCTGTGCTTACATCCAAAGATTCACAAGTGAAGTATTCTTATACATTTTAAGTAAAAAATGTTCAAAAAATATATAATGATTTTTAAATGATTCCCACTTGAACCAAATTTTTAAAATTACCTACACATACCGTGTCATACGAGAGAATTTCTACTAACTGAAGAATCACATTAATCACTGTGAAAATTCATCTTTCCAGATTATTGGAAATCTTGTGAAATGGTGACTTGGTCATCAACCATACTAGCTATGCCTCCCGGTGTGCTTATTTCAATCTGGTAAACATGATTACCACAGCATCTTACTAAAAAAGAAATATGATAAAACACGAATCAAAAGAAGACTAAGAAGCATATTCATAAATAATTCTCTATTTATATCTCAGAAGACAAGCTGTTTTCCTAACGAAATAGTGATGTCTTCACTGCTGGAGTTAATGACCATCTGTGGTGGGTGCTGATGGTGTCTGCCAGATCCCCTTTATAGGCCAGGGCACCTATTGTCCAGCTGCTGTGAGTGCTGGCTGCTGGAGAAAGACTTCCAATGGACAGGGACCGCCACACCCGGAAGGTTATATGCCATCATTCTCTACTCCACCCTCACTCAAGCAGCCTGCAGCCAATGACTAACACAGGTATAAAAGGCCTGCCTCTTTGCTCTTGCTCCAAAACTTCCCATGAGTCCAGGCTGAATCCAGACCACTGCTTAGACCACAAGCTTGTTTAGGCTCCTCCCCTGACCACCCTCCTTCCCTCACTCTTGTTCTCCTGAGAGCGCTCCTGCAGTAAATCACATATGCCCAAATCCATGTCCTGGGCTCTGCTTCTAACTAACATGACCTAACGCAGTATCGATAATAAATAAAATTGTATTTATACCAGAGAGACAATGTCAATTGACACTTCATATGGAATCATCTTCTTACTATGGCATAAAACATCACAAACATTTAACCTCTAAGACTTACATAAATATTGTAGGCTTACACTGAAGCATAAGGTATAGTGGATATACACATACACAAATGCAAAATTATAAATTTTTTGAATGACAATTTTGACAATTTAATGAATACATGCTTTTAAAGGTATTATTTTAATACGGATACTTTCCAAACACTTAAAAGAATAAAATGACAAATGATGACTAAGTCCTCATACTTTTTAAAACAGTCTTTTACATGACTCAACTAAAGTATTTTTCTCTCTATCATGTCATCAAAAAGTAGCAATGTCTTTAAGTTGCCTAGTGCAATTTATAGCACCCTCTAGTAACAAATTACCCATGAGAAACAAGTGTGTCTCATTTAATAAATGAAATGTGTTACTGTAAATCTGTAGTTTAAAAAAAAAAAAAAAGGTTGGAGGAAAAAAAGCTACCTTATCAGGAATATTCATAGCGTCTAGGACCAATGAGTAAAGAAATATCACACATTACATTTCAAGATGGCACTTAAGGCTGGGGTAAGCAGCCCAAAGACAGCCTCAACTGGAAACCAGTATTTCCACAGAGCAAACTTACAAGATCTACTGTTGATTAGATGACAGCAACAGCAACAACAACAACAACAACAAAGGAAATCCACATAAGGAAAAAGTGAACTTCTTAAGAGGACGTGAGGGACCAAGGTAGGCACAAACGGTTATTGTTTATTAGACACTATCATAAGCAAGGCCTTCGGAATTTCTACACTTTGCCAGCACTCATGCCAAGGTTTCATAAACTCAGAAATAACTCTGCATTACATGAAGACCAGCTCCATACCATTCCATTTACAAGGTTCTATGTTGTATGGTTTGTGTGTGTGTGTGTGTGTATAACACATACATATTTAATACTCACTACTCTTACCTCCAGCACCCAGAACAGTGTTTGCCTCTTGGTAAATACAAATGAATGAATCCCAAGACCAACGGGAATGAATTGAAAAGTTTTAAATTGAAAAGTGACAGAATCAAATTTGCCCATCAGAAAAATCATTCTGGCTATAGAGTGGAAATAAATGCACCAGCAAGGCCTGAAACCAGGAAGACCTTTGGTGGTTGTTATTTCTCTATTTACTGCAGGACACATTTTAGGCTTTACAAAAAATACTCATTAAGAAATGATATTCACTTATGTATAAAGCTAATCTGAAAGCTTGGTAATGTACTACATTAACTCTTTTAGAAGCTGAGCTACATTCCCTTTCAGCTTCCCCAATAACAGCTAAAACTGAAAAACAAAATAGCTAAAACTTACATAGCATTTATTATGTGTCAGGTGATCAAAACATTTGATTACTCATATCATGTATATCTTAGCAGAGGAGTGTTAACCTACAATACACTAAGATGATTCAGAATCTACGATGTTTGAATTGTTAAAAGAAAACAAATAAGAGGCTGGGCATGGTGGCTCACACCTGTAATCCCAGCACTTTGGGAGGCCAAGGTGGGTGGACCACCTGAGGTCAGGTGTTTGAGAGAAGCCTGGCCAACATGGTGAAATCCCATCTCTACTAAAAATACAAAAATTAGCCAGTCGTGGTGGTGGGCACCTGTAATCCTAGCTACTCAGGAGGCTGAGGCTGGATAATGGCGTGAGCCCGGGAACGGAGGTTGCAGTGAGCTGAGATCATGCCACTGCACTCCAGGCTGGGTGACAGAGAAAGACTCCGTCTCAAAAAAAAAAAAAAAAAAAAAAAGAAATATAATCTTTCAATCTCACATGTTATGCTTAAGATAACATACAAATCAACTTCTCATAAATGCTAACAAAATTGCAATTAACAACATTTCATTTATGAGGTATTTTCTCACTTGTTAAATTTTTATTAAAAATATCACTTTAGTTGAAATTACTCCCAGAGATGCTAATAAAGTAAGTGACTATATAAAATAATAAATAAATAATCTCTTCTTATAAGTAAGTCCTAAATAATTTTGTTTTTTCAATTTAGGTTACAGTTTTACAATGGAGTTCCCTGTTCAATAAATAACCACAACCCATGGTTATCTAGTAATTGGCAATTCATATCCATTATCTTATTAATATTATAAGAACATTGTGAGATAGGTAATATTATAATAACTTATGCCAAAGGGACTTGAGCTCAGAGTTCATATGATTAACTCAAGAAACTCAAGCAAGCAACCACAGTGTCAAGATGCAAACCTGAGTCTTCCACATCATCCTCAATACTCAAGTACTCTACAACCGTGTGAAAGCACCAAAACCAGAAGAGTGAATCAACTTGGCTGCATCCTTTACTCTTACATGGCAAAATTTTTCTTTTTTCCTTTTTGTCAAGGTAAGACAAGACCACACCAGCTCTTCAAAGTACATGACCATATATGATAAAAAAAAGAAAATTCAGAGAATACTAAAGTCTTTAGCTGAGACCTTCATGCTGCACTTCATTATTAGAATTACTGATAATGCACACCCACAGGTACATTTAAACACCTTCTTCTCCCATACTTGGACAGATAGCTCAAAGAAGGCAAAATGGTCAAAAGGAAGGCAGCAGAAGAGATTAAAAAAGATATAAAGGGCCAGGCGCGGTGTCTCATGCCTGTAATCCCACCACTTTGGGAGGCCAAGGCGGGCGGATCACAAGGTGAGGAGATTGAGACCATCCTTGCTAACATGGTGAAACCTCATCTCTACCAAAAATACAAAAAATTAGCCGGGCGTGGTGGCGGGCGCCTGTAGTCCCAACTACTTGGGAGGCTGAGGCAGGAGAGTGGTGTGAACCTGGGAAGCGGAGCTTGCAGTGAGCAGAGATCGTGTCACTGCACTCCAGCCTGGGCAACAAAGTGAGACTCTGTCTCAAAAAAAAAAAAAGAAATAAAAATATAATCAATATTCCCCAAAATAACCCAAAATTTCATCATCACACAAATTCTAAAAGATGAACCAAAGATATTTCCTGGGCTTTTGCGTATCAATCTGAAGAGTAATGCCAGAGACAACAGCATAAATGACATACTTGATAGACTATTATTATACTTCATACGATGCTGGATTATGGGCAGGTAGGGGCACAGAGCAACAGGGTTGGAAAAATATATAGGGATGATCTTAAGAGCTTACAATCTAGAGGAAAGATGGCAGATGTGAAGAAAATTCAGAGAACAAGTCAGTGCTATGCTCTCTATGGAGGGCTCAGTGCAACAGTTCAGAGAATAAAGCAATCTGGACAGGATTTGGACAGGTGGAAAAAAAGATGAGTACTACCAATGGGGGAACAAGATAAGGCAGGGCATCAGAGGGTGGAAAAATACACATAATTGTAGGCAAGTGAAGGAAAACCAACCGGACTAGAAAGTAGGCGGACAAATCAACAAGCAAAAAACAAATGACCCCATTAAAAAATGGGCAAAGGAAATGAATAGATCCTTCTCAAAAGAAAATATATACACGGCCAACAAGCATATGAAAAAATGTTCAGCATCACTAATCATCAGAGAAACGTAAATAAAAACCACAATGAGATACCATCTCACACCAGTCAGAAGGGCTATTGTTCAAAAGTAAAAAAAATAACAGATACTGGTGAGGTTGTGGAGAAAAGGGAGCGTTTATATACTGCTAGTGGGAATGTAAATTACATCAGCCACTGTGGAAAGCAGTTGAGATTTCTCAAAGAACTTCAAAAAGAACTACCACTCAACCCAGAAATCCCATTACCACGTATATACACAAAGGAATATAAATCGTTCTACCAAAAAGACACATGTACTCACATGTTCATTGCATGTTCACTGCAGCACTATTCAAAATAGCAAAGACATGGAATCAACCTAGATGCCCATCAATGGTGGACTGGATAAAGAAAATATGGTACATATACACCACAGAATACTATGCAGCCATTTAAAAAAATGAAATCATGTCCTTTGCAGCAACATGGATACAGCTGGGGGCCATTTTCCTAAGCGAACTGATGTAGGAAAAGAAAATGATTTCACTTATAAGTGGGAGCTAAATATTGAGTACACGTGGAAATAAAAATGGAAACAATAGATACTAGGGCCTACTTGAGGGGAAGGGTAGGAAGACAGTGATGGCTGAAAAACTACATATAGGGTACTATGCTCACTACCTAAGTCATTTTTACACCAAACACCAGCAACAGGCAATTTACTCAGGTAACAAACCTGAATATGTACCCCCGAACCTACAATAAAAGTTGGGGGAAAAAAATAGAAAGTAGGCAGAATATCAGGGTAAGCTGGCTGAAAAAAGGTAACACGGGAAACTGAAAGCAAGGCAAGAATTTTGGCTTGAATAGTTAACTGGGAAAAAATGCAGTATAAGTTCTTAAATAGGAAAACTGCATGAAAATGTTGTATTTTAATAAGACTGTATATTATGTATAACAGTATGATATTAAAATGCATAAATGGAAGAGAAAGCATACAGAAAGGCAGACAGGTTAAGACACCCCTTGAAAGAATCCATACATAAGGTAAAATGAGTGATAGCACTTTCTGTTCATAGGCCCAGAAAAGGGAAATCCAAGGATCACTTTAAAGGGAAAATTATAGGACTTTGTGAGAAAATAGAAGTAAAGAGGCTGGGCTGGGCGCAGTGGCTCACACCTGTAATCCCGGCACTTTGGAAGGCCGAGGCAGGTGGGTCACTTGAGGTCAGGAGATTGAGACCAGCCTGGCTAACATGGTAAAACGCTGTCTCTACTAAAAATACAAAAAATAGTTAGGCATGGTGGTGCACATTTGTAATCCCAGTTACTCAGGCGGCTGAGGCAGGAGAATAGCTTGAACTTGGAAGGCAGAGGTTGCAGCAAGCTGAGATCACACCACTGCACTCAAGTCTGGGTGACAGAGTGAGACTCCATCTCAAAAAAAAAAAAAAAAAAGAGAAAGAGAAAGAGACCAAAATAGAGAAGAATCCAAAAAGAATCCAACATTATTTAAAAGTTTCCAGCTTGGAAAACTGATCAAGAAGATTAGTGATAGGCCAAAGGAAACTAGACAGTTCAAGAGAAGCAAGTCAATCTGAGTAAAAAAGATTTTAATGAATATTATATGTATTTAAATGTCAAAAAGTAAATCTTTCATATTTAAATATTCCACAAAGCCTTCAAGATATTTGATGAATAGCATTTTTTCTAGTTTAAATATATAGAAATTAATTCATCAGAAGAGTTTTCAGTTTCATTTCCAAAGAAAACCTTACATGACACATGAAGACATCTGATGAGGCTTTTCTATTATTCTAAGTAGTGCTGAAAAAAAAATTATCTTAAAAAGGTAATGAAACTGAAAGATTAGTGGTAAAATTTTTGAATAAAAATTGAGATTTTATTATATTCATAATAAAAGCTTCCACCTACTCCATTTAGTCATCAAAACTGTGATTTTTTAAATGAGATATACTCACAATGACATTTCTTAGTTATCCCATTTTCTCATAAGAGACTACACTGTCAGCTGGCGAAAAGGAAAAGCAGTCTCCATGGCCGACAACTGATCCATTATAAAACTGCACACGCATGAAATGGAAATGCAAAGGTAAAAAAAATTACAGGTGAACTGTTTCCTAGCTTTGTAGAATTGTCTTCAAGGCCTGTGACCAGTCTACTCAATGTGGAGGTATAATAGATAATGAGTCAAAGTATAAAATGTGTTGAAAGAAAATACACACAAGGTTTGATTATACAAATTTGGTATTAAAATTTTCACATATACAAAAATGGGCTGATAATCTGCCTTTTTTTACTGTCCTAGTGTATTTTTTGAAATCAACGTTATACTGGACCCACACAATGAGTTGGAGGAAATAATCCCCCTTTTCCTGTTCTCTGAAAGAGTTTGTGGAAGATCAGAATTATCTATGCCTTGAACGTGTGGCAGAACTCATTCTTAAAACTGTACTGAATGTCTTCCCAATAGAAGGATTTTTACTTACTGACCAATCTAACAGTTATAGGACTATGCAGGTTTCTCACACCTTTTTCAATCAGTTTGGTAATTTACACATTTCAAGATTACTATGCATGTTAAACTTTGAGGAACATTACGTCAGAAAACTAACTCCTGTCCACCTCCCAAATTAAATGCTATTTTGTCCAATTTTTTAGTTTTCTTTTTTCAACTCCACAAATGAGACATCGTGACCACAGCTTTACACAGTCAGTATGCTTTAGACTGTTTGTTCGGTAATCCTTTTTGCATCTCGGAAAATTCTCCAGGGATTATTTTCCTTCCTCCTAAAACTACTTCTTTTAAAATTGTCATAGGGGACTTATTGGTAGAAAACACATTCAGCTTTTGTATGTTTGAAAATTTTGGCTGAGTGTGGTGGCTCACGCCTGTAATCTCAGCACTCTGGGAGGGCGAGGCGGGCGGATCACGAGGTCAGGA